TATTTTTGAGAGAGAGGGAGGGAGAGAGAACCCCAAGTTCGATGCAGGCCTCAAACCCATGAACTGTGAAGTCTAAACTAAGAGTCGGACGCCTGACCAGCTGAGCCACCCAAGCACCCTGCATAATCTCCATTTCACAGAAGGGAAAACTGAGAGTCAGAGAGATTAATGAGGATTAGAGGCCATGCGATCAGCAAATCTTAGACTTCTAACTACTCCACTGTCAGTTAAGAAAGTCCCACAAGCACTGCTCTGTACTTTTACAGGATATATCATGAGGTAATGCAAAATGCAGGACGAATCAATGTGCTATAGCCACACCGCCCATTATGGTAGCCACTAGCCATGCTAGGCTATTGAATTTTCAAAGTGCACCTGGTCTGAGTTGAGACATTATGTACGCATAAAATATACGCTGGGTTTTGAAGACTTAGAATGAAAAAAAGAATGTAAAGTATCTCATTAACACATTTATATTCATTACACGTGAAATGATATTTTAGAGATTTTAAGTTAAATAAAGCACATTATTAAATATATTTTAATAAATTAACTTCACCTCTTTCTCCTTTTTAAAAGAAGTCTCCTTTCAGATTTCTAGAAATGTTTAAATTACACATGTGACTTATCTTTTACTCCTCCAGCATCAACTCAATCACGTTTTAGACCTGTTTAAATAAGAGGCCTCATTATGTGCATCACCTCCAAGAAGCCAGTTTTTTCCTGGAATATTTTAAGGGCTTCCTCCTTAATTAAAATAAAAATTAGTGACATGTGGTTTGGTGTCCTCAAAGAGCTCAGGTGGCTTCAAACAATTTTATTTAAATGAGGGAAGCAATCACGTTTCATCATGCCCTTTTAAAATTGCTCTTGTTCCAGCAAATACTTCTTGGCAAAGTTCCAAATTTACACTTTTACACATATTGCATTAACTGCTTTTAATCTGTTTTGTCACTAATATTTCAAAAGAGGGAATCGGGAGTTAAGAAGAGAAAAGCAAAGCGATGTGAGGAAACATAGAACCCATGAAGACGTTTTTGCAATGCAATTTGAGAAAAAAATAAAACCAGGACAAAATCTATCCAGGTCTTGAGGCTGCTGCACTCCTGCCTTTGGGGAAGAGGGTGAGGTGGGAGGAGCTGTCACAGCAGTAAGAGCCTTCCCCTGCAACCCAGTTGTAGCAGCGGTGGGATCACTGAAGGCAGAGCCCCAGTCACATTAACTGAATGTGTGAAGAAATAAATGCAGCAGGCAGTAACGCTTTGCTCTTGTACTTAAGATCCAAAAAGGTTTTACAATGCACCCCCCGAAGTTTTTCCTTTAATAATAGATAACATTGACTGGCACTGAGAACACGCCAACCTTTTTACCTATATAATCCATTTAATCTTCCCAATAATACCAGGAGGAAACTGAGACATAGCGGTGCCAAGTAATTACAGTCACTCAGTTAGTAGATGGTAGAAAGCAGATGAGAATCCAGCCTTCAGAGACCATGTGCTAGATAGACATCAGAACCCAGCCTCAAACCACTGCGCAATCGTACCGCTCCACCCACATCTCTCAACCAAGTTATTCTGTCTCTCCTAGGCAGGGAAGTATGCAAGGGCCCACAGCTAACATTTCTATATTACCTAACTATATTATTTGATATTATCTGCAAATTATAATAAATTCAGGATGTCGAAAACCCAGTCAACCAAGGGCATTTTTTCATAAGATGTTGAAAGTCTACAACCTTAGAAATTCATTTTAACAGTGATCAAAAAAGAGTGGAAGCAGTAAAAGGCAGATTTATCTTAGATTTTATCCCACTGGAGTCTTATAAAGGGACTAAGAGAATTCTATGAAGAAACTGGTTTTTGCTCTAAGACGTGACTAAAGAATTGCATGCAAATTCTATTCCTGGACCCACTGAGGAGTCCAAGTCCCCCTGGTGGAATATCTCATAGCATCTTTTGGTTTCCTTCACACTTACAGTCTTTTTAATTGTCTCTCAGTCTATTTGTAAAGTTCATATCACCTTATGCGTATAAAGTTTAAACATAGCACATCAAATGCTTGGAGCAATTCCTAATACATAGCCGAAATTCCATAAATGTTAGTGGGTATTATTATTTATAGACTTTAACATAATAAGCTATTGCATATATTTTTAAACTCTTTAAAAATTTTATTTATACTGGGGCGCCTGGGTGGCTTAGTCGGTTAAGCGTCCGACTTTAGCTTAGGTCATGATCTCGCGGTTCTGGGTTCGAGCCCCGCGTCGGGCTCTGTGCTGACTGCCAGCTCAGAGCCTGGAGCCTATTTCAGAGTCTGTGTCTCCCTCTCTTTCTGACCGTCCCCTGCTCACACTGTCTCTCTCTCTCCTAGAAATAAATAAAAATATTTAAAAAAAATTTTTATTTATATAAACAAAAAAATTTAACCTAGCCTCAAACCTCATTTGAGCCTCACCCACCTCTCTCATCTCCCCACCATTTTTAATGTAATAAATTATTGCATATTTTTATGATTGTTCATTCGATGTTTGACTTGCCACTACTAGAACATAAGCTTCCTGATGGCAGAGACAGGAACAACTGTGGCACACATTACAACTGTCCTCTGCTCTCTAGCTCTCCTCTCCATCTGGGCTAAGAAGAAGATTGTGTTTTCTTGCTTTCTTGAAGGTGACATGGCCATTGACTTGCTTTAATCAATGAAATATGAGCAGAAGTGCCACTTCCTGGTAAAAGACTTAATGCTTCACTTAAGTCTCCACTTCTCTCTCTCTCTCTCTCTCTCCTCTCTTTTTATCTCAGTGACTATGGAAGCAGGATTTGATGTGAAGGTTCAGCACTGAGTTCCCCAAACTAGAGGAGAGCTACTCTGGGGAGTGACCTGGATCTACAGTAGACGTTGATGAACGAGAAATATATCATTATTGTGTAAGCCTCTGAGATTTTAGGGTGGTTTATTACAGCAGCATAACCTAGCCTACCCTGACTATAACAACCTGTTACATTTCCACAGCCTAGCATAAGGCCTGACATTTAGTAAGTGATCAAATATGTTTTCATTAAAGTAATAAATTAGAAGTTTGAAACATTAATAAAAATGGAATGATTTTAAAGAAATCATTTTCAGCTCTATTCCATGTGTCATAAAAAGCTTAGGAAATTTTAACTGATTCAGAGGTGGGAATCACCATCCTTTGGGTACCAAACCATCATTTTAGATATCAAAGCCAGAGTCACACATGCTTTGCACCCCAAAAAGATTCCATTAAAGTTTTGCTGAAATCCAATCAAAATTTTTTTCTGTGCAGGAGTTTTGGAAAACCTTTATTTCTGTAATAGAGTTACCTACTGAAATGGCCCTTATTGAAAGGCATCATTGTCTTATATAAATTTTATATATATAAATAAAAATATTTATATATAAATATATACATTTTATTTTCTATACAAAATTCACCTGTGTGTGATCCTTGCCCCAAAGACAACCACAACCCACATGCAGAAATTCTTCATAATCATGTAGATAGCACCAGAAACTGGAAAAACCTCAAGGTCAAAAACACTCAGAAAACACGTTTAACAAATTCAATTTACAGTTTCTCTGGCTAGGAAGGAGGAAAGGGGGATAGGCACTTGGCTCTGAGATCTTTTACTTCCCATTCCAACAAGGATCAATCAACTAACCCAGGAAAAAGATCCCAATAAAACAAAACAGAACAAACCATCAAACCTCTGAGCCCAGTTTAATCTGGCTGTGGAAGGCTGACAAGCCACACAAGTGGTAATGGTGCGCTCAGGCAGAGGGATGGATGTCATCACAGATACAGTGATAAGACGCAAACAAGTGAGAAAATGAAACCTGAGTACACAAAAAACAAGCCACAAGAAAAGAAAGCTGCTCCCCAGCGCTACTAATGGTCCTGAGCAAATTAATTCTTTAGGAAGGCTCATTAATTTCAGCCGCTTTCCAGCTCTGGTGACTCGGGGATCAGCAGGCGCCTAAGAACAGAGATACTGGAGATGATCTGGCATCTGGTCTGACAGAGGTATTAGAAACAAGCAAGTTGAAGGTGGTGGGGAAGCTTAAGTACAAGGTCAGCTTGATCTGTGCGAAGATATAGAAACTTTGGGGTTTGAAAAGCGAGTATAGTACAAAGGATGACCCGGAGGCCTGGGCAGGCATCCTACCTGTACCATTAGCTAGTTGTGTGACCTTGGGCAAGTACTTAAACCTCCCTGTACTTCCACTTCGTCCCCTGAAAATGAAGATGCAATCGTGCCCACCTCAAGGGATTGTTGTGAGAAGTCACTCATTTAGTATCTGTACAACACAGTTGCCCAGCACACAGCAATCACTGAGGAAATGTTAGCCTTTGTTTTTATGAAGCTGGTGCACAAACTGTTCAGTTATGGGGTCCAGCCCTTACCAGCTATGTGGCCTGGAGTGCATTACTTCTCTGTGCCTCAGTGTTCTCATCTGTAAAATGGAATAACAGTAATTCTTATGTCACAAGATTGTCATGATACCACACCTAGAACGTTGCCTGGCTCGGTGATCTCATGATCACGGCTACCTGACATTAGTATTATTTCTTCCGGTAAGAAGCTGAATAGGCGAAAAGGCATCCTGGCTCAGGCACCAGGAAGTGCAGAGGGGTTGAAGGTGCGTAAGGGTTTAACGTGCACGCAGCACAGTAAGGTGCATTCTCTTATGCAACAGTGGGGTCTTGGCTCTTTGAGTTGACGCCTAAGGTGGCATATGGTCACCTGTTGTAAGCATACTCAAGAAAAGTTGAGATCAGTTCCCCAGGGCGGAGATCTGCTCACACTTTGCATCCCTTTAGTTGCCAGCACGGGGCTAGACTCTTAAACCTTTTCAAAACTCGAGTCTGTCCAGCAGAGGCCGCCCTGGGCTGGGGCTCCCGGGACCTGCGCGCCGAGAAAGGGGAGGCCAGGGGGTGGCCTTGTCGGCGCGGCGGGGCCCGGGTGGGAGGGGTTTAGCGGGGGCAGGCGCGGCTGCGGAGGCGGCCCCGGCCCGGCGGCTGGGATGGAGCAGAAACGCGCCGGGTGCGCGAGCACACGCAGCTGACAGAGCCGCCCCGCGTTCGCCCGGCTTCCCCGCCAGCCGCCGCAGCAGCCCGGGCCGCCCAGGCTGAGCGCGCAGAGCCGCCCGCGCCTCCCGGCGCCCGCCGCAGCCAGCCGGGCGGAAAAGGAAGCGTCCGCGCCCGGAGCGCTCGGTCATCCCCGGAGCTCGGCGCCCAACACCAGGGTACCATGGTCTGCAAGACTCTCTTCGCTCTCTGCATCTTCACGGCAGGTATTTGGGGGCGCCGTCCTCCCCGAGCGGCCAGCGCTGGGGCCGGGGGCTGAAGCGGGGAGACCAGGGAGTAAGTCACCGCGCGCGGGCGGCGGGAGTGGGGCGAGCCTCCGGAGTTGGTATGTGCGCACTTGACTTTCGGGTGGTGTGAGCCCGTGGAGATCCTGGGCTGTGCGAGACCGAGGGGGTGACAGGGTCCCTCCTGTCGCAGCTCGCGCCCGCACCAACTCGGGGCTTTGTGGAACAGGTGGCTGTGCGACGCGTTCGAACCCTGGGTGGGCGACTTGAGGCTTTTCGGGTCTCCGAGCACACCCTGCCAGGGCCGGGCAGCCGACTTCTTGAGGCGGTTGGACCCTGGGAGGGATGAGAAAACTGGAGAGGCGGGCGACGTCGCATCTGGGTGGCTCCAAGCGGTGGCCGCGCGCGCGGCGGGTCTGCTTTGCGGTCCCCGGGACTCGGCGGTCTCCGGTCTCCCGCGTCTCTTAGTTGAGCGTGGGGATGATGCGGCACCAGCAGCCCCTCGGCAGCTGCCTGAAGCCGGTCCAAGCTCGTGATCGAACCTGGGTTTGCAGTTCCACCCTGTGACCCGGAGTCTCCCCAAAAGGCGTGCCGTGGCAGGAACTGTTAAGTTCGCTGAAAACCACCCCCGCCCCCGACCGCAGGCAATTCGGGACCGTTCGCCGCGCGCGCCGGGCGGGTCTCGGCCCCACTGGCCGCGGCCTCTGGCAGGGGCTGCAGAGAGACGGTCAGGACTGAGCTCGGCTTAGTGGGGGTAGGGAGAGATTCAAACACGCCTTCAGTCTGGTGTTGGGTACCGAGTTGTTCCAGAAAAGGGAGCCCGACGAGGGACAACTGTCTGTGGATCAGGCGGCAGTGGAAACAAGCAGCCGGAGTGCGCGGACACTGGCGTGTTTCTTTAAGAATGTTCCAAAACCACATAGCACGAGCCGATTGGACTCTGTGCATGAATTCTGTTCCTCCCGAATTGCCTGCGCTCCTGTAATTGTGGGCACCGGTCGTTACAATCCCTTGAAAAGAAAGCCACGGGTTTCCTGACAGCTCACAAAGGATAGTGCAATTTTCAGGAAAAGTTTCCAGACATGAGATTATAGCGTGTTTTGTTTCATCTTTGTTTTTGTTTTTCTCTACTTGCTGAAAGCCTGAGAAAACTCCCTCTTCGTTTCCGTGTCCGCACGGTGAGCAATCTAGCAGTCGCGTCTGCGCATGGTTGCGGAACACTCTGGGCGGCTTTGGCTACGCAGCCTCAGCGGGCAGCGCCAGGATCCCAGCAGGTGTAATGGCCACCATCCCAAACCACGGGATTGCCGCGTTAGGCAATTCCAGTCCCCCTCCAAGCAAGAGAGGTTTATGAAACGACAGGAAAGTGCCTTTACTTTTCTCCTCGCTAGAAATCTTTTCGTGAAACTCAAAGCTCAGAAAAACTTGAGTGAGCCAGTAGAGCCTATGGATAGATTTGTTCTCTATTTTTATCTTGTGGCTTGTCTTTTTAATATTTTTAATGTTTATTTCTTTTTGAGAGAGAGAGAGAGAAAGAGACAGAGACAGAGTGTGACCAGGGTAGGGACAGAGAGAGAGAGGGAGACACAGGCTAGGAAACAGGCTCCAGGCTCTGAGTTGTCCACACAGAGACTGAAAAGGGGATGGAACCCAGTGAGATCATGACCTGAGCCGAAGAAGTGAGGCTCAAGGACTGAGCCACCCAGGCACCATTGTGTTTTTAATTTTTATTGACCGCTCTGGTAGTTGGCACTACCTGTATTAACCTTTCTAGGCAGTGTATTGCAGCAATTTTTTCTAAGGAGCTCAACATATTTTTTTCTTGGTCACTTTTAGAGTTTAGCCCAGCTATTCTGGAGGTAAGACTATTGCTCTTGTCCATCAGTGGAGTGAGAGGGCTGGTGGACCCACAAGCAGCATCCTCCCCATCTATGCATACGTGTGTGTTGGGGGGGGGTTGTGAACAGACAGGATCACAGCTTCCCAGTTTGGGGGCTCTCCTGACCCTAGAAGACCTAGTTATGTCTCTGTGTACATCTTTCAATCTTCCATCTGAAGGAAACTCTTTGGGGGAGCTACTTGCAATTTGTTGTCAGGAAAATAATGTAAAAATTTGCATAAATATCTTATGAGATTCTTTGCATCCAAAAGTAGGGTGTTTTCAGAAACAAAAATATCATTTTTGTAGGAAAAAGAATAGAGGTGTTGGTAAAGGAGAGAGGGATGAGGGTTCCTGAAATGAGTGTGCCATGCATGTTTCAGCTGCAGCTCCTCTGGTAAAGCTCTGGTTAGTTTCACCCAGCAGTTGCTGCTTTTCTGTTCTCCTCTTCCTCTTCTACCTTCTCTTCCTCCTTTTTCAGCCTTCCAGTAAAGTTCTTCAGGTGATACCTTCTTGAGCCAGAAATGGGTTGTGGCAGGGGACACTTTTTAGCTTGGTAAATCCGCTCAGTATATACATAGCACTTTCTCCTGCCTGTATAATGGACGCTTGCAAATATCTGGGAATTGGCAACAAAATAATTGACATTTATTCACTTGCATTTTTAAAAAGGAGGAAAGAAAGCTTGGACTGTCTTCAGTTCATTCTAACTGGACCGTGGTATAAACTGTTAGGGCTATTTTACAGACCATTCTCAAACATCTCTCCGTACAAGGCACACAGGAGTACAGCACAGGTAAAAGAAGCACAAACCTCATGATCTTTGGAGGGTCTGCCCCGCCTGTCTCTGCTCTCTCCGTAGAGAAACTATCATATCCTAGCCCAGTACCTAGGCCAACTTGTTGGCCTTTGGTGATCAAGACCAGAAGAGCTAGACTGCAGTCTGCCACCACCATTTTGTGCTCTGGGCTTATCAGATAGCTCTTCTCCGGGTGACTAACATCTAGAATGTCCTTATCATGGAAGGGTGACCCCACCCTGCACACTTATGGGTCTCTTCTCACTACAGATCCTGATACATAGGTCAAGAGCTTATCATAAGCATGGGAAAGCCTTATCATAAATCATATCATAAATGTATTAAAAATAAACCAAAAATGCACACACATTTAAGGACGGTGAGGTCATGCATGGTTGTCTGGGAGTGGGGGTGACGGGTTGCTCATGGCCCTTTAGCCTGGTTATCTCCTGTTCCCCTGAAGTGGGTAGCACAGTCAAAGGAGTGACACCCCCTTCCCATGAAACCTGACCCGAGAAGGAGGAAGGCCTTCATTGCTGACACCTTTACTGAGGCAGTGTCGCAGAGTGGTCAGCGGGAAGATTCCGCAGCTAGATTGCCTAGGTACAAAGCTAAGTTTTACTCCTACCGAGTGTGTAATTTAGGGCAGGTAACCAGACCATTCTGAGTTTTCTTCTCTACAAAATTGGGGAAGTAAAACCTCGTAAGGGTGTTGAAAGTGTTCAGTGACCGGGTAGACCTACAGGGCCCGGGACATAGTCAGCACTCAGTAAGTGTTAGCCACTGTTGTTTCTGTTACTCTTATACATAAGGTTAACTACTGACTGCTACCCATCAGGTCCCTCTCTTGGAAACCGAGTTTCTATGCTTGTGCTCAGACTATGTCAAAGATCTCAGGTAATTATCCTGGCCCAGTGCCAGTTGTTTTGGCACACCTTAATGTGCAAATGAAGAAAATATTCAGCGGAGTCTACGAAATGCCTCATTTGAAAAGGTTAATAACGTGTCCGCTCAGCTTTAGCACAGCGGTCCAAAAAATGCTCTGTAACCAATCGAAGTCAAGTCTCATGAAGGACTTTATTTCTTCCACAAAGCCTTTTGCAAACGATGTGTGTTTCAGAAGCCCAACTCAGCTAAACCTTTAAGTCAGATTCCGAGAGGTGCAAATTTTGGATGATTCAGGTCAAAGAACTTAGGAAGAGGCAGCTCACGGTTATCTGAATGATCCAGAATGTCTCTCTCTCTCTCTCTTTCTCTCTCTCTTTCTCTCTCTCTCTCTCTCTCTCTCTCTCTCAAGCCCCAAAATATCAGGGCTGGCCAGATCTCTAATTCACCTTGAGCATTTGGGCCAGGTTGAATTGTGTGTATGTTTTTATAAGGAAAACATTGGTCAAGCGTTTAGACTGTTTGATCAGACGTTCGTAAGCAAAAGTTTTCTCTGCAGGGGTGGGTAGGTGAGGGAGGTGGCTACAGAATCTGGAAACAATGGAGAAGGATATTTTAAAAATATTTTCAAAAGGGATTGGCTGTCTTAAGACCCAGAGCACTTACAACAGTTTGCTTCCTTTTGGAAGTATCTGTCACATAAATTGGGCATGTTAGTTTAGGAATCAAATATTTGCTTTGCTAATAAGATACTGAATGAAACAGTTGTTTGGAAAAAATTGAGGTTTCATTTAGAAGACAGTGGCAATTCTGAAAAGAGGTGGGCAAGTAGTGAGTGCGTGCCTTAGGCAACAATTGTTTTTTACTAGGAAATGCAGAGCTAATAGGTTGTAGTCCAGCTAATGTGCAAGTGGGGTGACTGTAAAATAAGACTGAATTATGTGTGGCATTACTTATTTTTTAGTCACAGCTTCAATTATTTAAATGACAGGATTCATGTAACATCAGATTTTCTGATGTGTGGATCTTTCAGGGCTCATCGTAATCCTTACACCAGGATATCCCATTTCTTTTACCTGTCTTTTACCGGTTTTAATGTCATTTATAAACCTTGAGACCTTTGCTAAGGTCTCAGTGATGTAGAAATCATTACAGCAAAATAGACAATTACATAATTCTTTCCATCTATGTTTTTCATTGGCGCAGGGCAGTACAATGTCAACTGAAAATAAGCTGTTTTAATTTTTTTTTTGGCTAGTGCTGCCAGATTTAGCAAATAAAAACGCAGGTTGCCCAGTCTAATTTGAATTTCAAATAAACAGCGAATTCTAAGTATGTCCCTCATCATAGTTGGGACACTTAAACTAAATAATTCTTCGTAGTTCATCTTGAATTCAGATTTAACTGGGCATCCCGCCT